TATGGGTCAGCTCTGACTCGGTGCTACACAACAACAACAAAGTAGTTAAGTATACATCAGTACGCATCTTACCCTGAAAGCCTGATGTTTTACTCTTTGTGTCATAATTTACACACAATAAAATTCCATTATTTTAGAATACAGTCCACTGTGTCTTGACAACCACATTCACATTCCTACCGCTGAGGTCAAGATTTTGTCACCAATCTGTTCCTCAGAATCCTTCTCTTGTCATGGTCTGTAAATCTCTGAAGGCCAGTAGCCCACACTGTTTAGGGCCGCAGCCATGACTTCCACTGTCCTTGCGTCGCGGGTGTGGGGTTTGAGTCCTGTGGTGCAGATGGGCTGCGTGCCCTTCCAGGGGTCCTCTCTTCCTTTGAACAGTGTGTGTTGTGTGGGTTCAGCCAGTCAGGGGCTGGGATTTCAAACCTCCTTTTCCCAGTTGTAGCCTTTCAGGAAGGGCAAGGAGGAGCTGCCCTGTTTCTTCCGGCCAACTCCGGCCCTGCTCAAGTGTTCACCACCTTCTCCATCCACGTGACGACAGTGGACATTACAGAGGGAGGGTGTTGAAACGCCACTGAAGAGATGACCACTCTCGCCCCGCCCAATGTTCACACTTGAGGGGTGAAGAGGCAACTTCTGAGATCACTCCATGCCTGACCATTCTTCCGTCCAGGACCCTTGACCGGCGTTTCTCCTTCTGACCCTGAGTCAACACTGCACCCTTTCCTCTCTTCCCACCACTTCCCTTCTCACCTCTATCCTTCTGTTTCTCTCCCGCCCTCCCCCCCATCAAATATATATATTTTATATATGTAATCTTTCTTTCACACACACAAGGGTGCTATTCAAGTGCAGGCCGCTCAGGCAGAGGTAGAGAGGTCAGCAGAGGTGTGTGAATGGCCCACGTCTCTCCTTTGTCCTCATCTCAGTGGCCAGCACTGGTCCCAGCCCTCTTTCTCAGCCCTGTCATCTCCCTGAGGGCCTCAGCTTACGTTCATCTGTGGAGTGGGTTTGGTCACCCCTTTGTTGAAGGACTGGTGAGGTGCGTGTGGCTTAGGGAAAGGGACACAGTGACTGGCACGTACTGGCTCTCCCATGAATGGCAGTTTTAGGACTGTTCTGGTCCCAGATGTCCTCCACCACCTTTCCCTCTGGACATGGCTTCCTTTTCCAGGCCTCTCACAGAACAGGAAGTCACCTAAGGCACTACCTCATCCAAAAATGCCTCTTCTGACACACACTCAGGAAGCTCTCCCTTCCAGAGGATTCATCCCTGACTCTGGGTGAGAGGCCACTCAGAGCTCCTCGAATGTGAGTCCTTCCCTCCCTCCCAGGTCCTCTCCCATGTAAACCACTGGTTGCGTTCAGTAAGGCAATAAATACCACGTGAGCCCAAAGAGCAGCTGTCCATCCAGACCTCTCTCTCACAGGGCAGTCCTCAGGAGGAGCTGTGTCCCCAGAGTCCCAGGATGCTGTGGGGGGGCATTTGTGCTTGGCACCCCAGCCTGGGGAACCCCCATTTGACACCCTCTTTGTCTTGGTCTCTTAGTGAACAGAGTTTGCTTTTATTCCATTTGTCCTACATTTGTAAACAAGGCACACAAATCCAGCCTTTAACTACACAACATCAGAGAACCACCACAGCGCCTCACTGCCGTGGAGTTGACTCACAGCTGAGCCTCCAGCAGGTTTTCAGTGGTGGTAAATCACATGGCAGGGCGTTACTTTTCTCCCACAGAGCGGCTGGGCGACCCCAACCGCCTGCCTTTGGGATGTCGGCTCAACTCCCTACAGACTTGGCTACCAGAGCTCCCAAAGTTGTGGTGGGGGGCGTGATAGGAAGAGGGGAAAAAACCCACCAAAACTCTGATCTTGTGATATGTCTAGATGCTTGAGATAATGTGTTTATTTTTATTTTGGTAAGCTATATATTTTTTAAATTTTTTTTTCCATTGTTGCACTTTTTCTTTCCCCTTCTCCCCCTCCCTTAACCTACCCTTGCACTTAACCCCTTGTTCTAGGTTGTTGCCATGCATATAATGTCTAATCATATATTCCTTTCTGACCAATTTTTGGTAGGTTCATAGATCAGGATGGAGGCTTTGTGCAGCTGGCCGACTCCAACTCCCTACTGACTTGGCTAACAGTTCCCAATGTTGGAGAAAAAAGGAAAAGGAATTTAAAAAATCTGATCTTATATGGCCAGCTAGATGCTTGGGATAGTGTCTTTATCTTGATTTTGGTAAACTATGTTTAACAGAAAGTTTGCCACGTGTGAACTCTGAGTGTGTGTGTGTGTTTACCTTGGTGGCACCGAGGACCTTCACCATGTTGAACCACCATCTCCACCATGTATTCTCAAAGCATTTCATGTCCCAGCAGAGACTCCGTCCACCCTAGCAATGGTCCTGCGTTTCCCCAGCTCCAGACCCATGGAACCACTAAGTTGCTTTGGCCTCTCAGCCCTTGCCTGTTGTAGATTCTCTTAGACAAGAGCAGGGCTCACAATAGTCATGCTTCCATGTCTGGGTGAGTTCTCGCATTGCTCCCCAACCCCCAGGGGTTTCCACTTCTCTGATCATAGCCGCCGTGGTGGGAGTGACCCCCGTTTCTCATCCCATCTAGCTTGCTTCTGAGTCCTTTCACTTTACACTGGAAGTTCTCTTCCAATGGCACATATCCTGTCCCCTCACAAAACAAGATGCAGGCTTTGTGCAGTTGTCTGGCTAAAAAGTAAGTAGAAGTGATTAATAGCAATCACAAAATGCGATTATGAAGCTCAGTTTATTAAAATGATTAATAATTACAAATTTAAGAATTAAAGTTTAAAAAATTAAAAAGTTCAACATTAAAAAGCTAACAAGTTTCAGGAGAAGCATACAGAAGAGTGTATCTACTTAGACCCCTCTACTGAAGGAACGAAAACTCTTATTCCCCACAACCCAGCCCGATCCAGTACTGGTTTGAGTGCTGGCCACTCTGTTCAAGCACCCAGTGACATTTGTCCTCGCATCCTAATGTTGAAAATATAGCATATATGGACGGCAAGGTTCATAACCAAGGCAATCGAAGAGAGCCTTGATTTCCTCTGGCACTGGTCCTTTCTTCTTCCCCTCCTCTCTCAGAGCCTGCACATACTGGCTGGGGAAGGAATCTAGGTCAGTTCCTCTCATCTTGGCCAGGTGTTCCAGGATTTTTATCTCACTGGTCTCATTCTTGGCCCTTTGACCCCAGCGGTAGTCATAGACAGCTTTGTGGGTTTTGGGCACTCGCCTGATGTCTATGTACTTCATGTCCTTCAACTCTTTGAGGAGGTCGTTGGGGTTCCCGAAAAGGATGTGATTCTTGTCAACATGCATATCCATCCTCTTCAATGCCTCCCAGATCTTTGCCTCATTGGCACAGCCGCCTTCCAGGAAGATGGTACACAGGACTGTAATTAGGAGGCCATTTTTAGGCATGGGCGGTTCTTCTCGACTAGGATCCTTGTCATAGGTGAGGTCCATAAAGGAGTTCAGGGAATAAGTGTGGGATAAGGCGTTCACCTCCTTCACTTCCACACCAAAGACCCTCTGCATGATCTCCACGGCCTTCTCGAAGACCTCGGTGAAGTACCTCTCATTCCTTTTGATGAAGTGATCCAGGATCTCTTTCTTCTTGATAATTTTCTGAGAATAATACTTGTACAGCAAAATATTCACTATATGCCACACAAGTTTTTCCAACTCACTTAGCAGACAGTACTCAGACCTGGTCCTGGGGGTTATAGCACCCACTCCTTCCTGGCTGCAGGTGTCCTTGGTTAAGACGGCCCTTGTGGAGGTGGAGGCACCCTGGGGAGTTTGGGGTGTACGAGATGCCCGAGCAGTTTTCCTCTCTTTCTGGGATCCTGGGCTCAAGGAAGACTCAGCAGAGGGGGGAGTAGAGGCCATTGCCACAGCCGCCTCCTCCTCAGCACCTGGGCTCTGCACTCCCTCTGGGCCTCACTCTGCTTCTGCTCGCAGTCCTGACTCTTCTGACCAAGCAGAATGAGACCGAAGGAAGGAGGCTTGTTGATGGTTGTTCACTAGCCTTCGGGAGAAGGAGAAGGAGAGGGTCAGTGTCCTTGGCTGAGAAAATCATCTTTGACAGCTCTGACAAAAGCTACCAATGACCTCACAGATCTCCTGTTAACCTATTTTTAGAACCCTACAGGGGGTACTAGTCCAGCTCCTAGGGGTGCAGCCAGGATTTATCGGGGTCGAGAGGTATGGGTCATCTCTTTTTCCTGAGTGGGAGGGAACTTGGTCATCAGCTTAACAGCTGACAGAACATGACTTTTCCCTTTAGGAATTGGCATCACCCTTCCCCCCCCCAGCTGTGTGGGAGTCGCAAGGCAGAAGTGAAGACGACTAGGTGTATAGTGACTCTGCATGGGTGGGGCTCTTCTTTCTCCCTCAGAGCATGCAGGAGGCATAGAGCCCCAGAGACAGATGGACAGAGATAGCCCCAAGGGCCCCAGAGTGACGGACAGTTGGCCCCAGAGGAATGTTGGTTTCATTGACTATGCAAAGGCATTTGACTGTGTGAATCACAACCTGTGGCTAACCTTGAGCAGGATGAGAATCCCAGTACACTTGATTGTGCTCATGCAAAACCTATACTTGCATCCTGTACCTTTTCAGTCTATATGCGGAACAGATCATTCGAGAGACTGGACTCTTATGAGGCATCGGGACTGGTGGAAGACTCATCAACAACCTGCACTATGCAGATGACACAACCTTGCTTGCCAGGCTATGTTAACACTCCTGTAAAACTATGTTCAAGTATTTTGTACCTAACTAAACTTTTCCCCCAGAAGCCTTGTTTTAAACTTCTAGAATACAAGCTTTGAATGGTGTTTAAACATTGTTGTTGTTGTTGTTAAGTGCCATTGAGTCGCAGGCGACTCAGTGACCCTGTGAAGGAGAGTCCTCGATGCATGGGTGCCTTTCATCCTCTCTCCAGGTTCATAGGGTTTCTGGAGGCAAGCTATTATGGAAGTGGATGCCACTCCTGCTTCCAAGTTTAAACATTACTTTCCTTAAAATTTATTTTTAGCAAGTAACAAATGCTGACGAGGTTGTAGAGAAACTGGAACCCTTATTCACTGTTGGTGGGAGTGTAAAATGGGGCAACCACTGTGGATGGCGGTACGGTGCTTTCTCAAAAAAGTGACAAATAGAGATACCCTTTGACTCAGCAATTCCACTACTGGGAATATACCCCAAAGAGACCAGAACTGACAGCCAAGCAGATATATGCACACCCATGTTTATCGTGGCTTTGTTCACAATAGCAAGAGTTGGAAACAACTTAAATGCCCATCAACAAAGGAATGGATAAAGAAGCTGTGGTATATTCACACAATGGAATACAACGCTGCATTGAAAAACAAGGAACTCATGCAACATTATTCAAAATGGGTGACTCTGGAGGACATTATGTTGAGTTGAAGTATCTCAGTCACAAAAGGACAAATACTGCATGGTGCCACTGTTGTAAAACAGGACTGGCCTTGGGGTTGGGGGGAGACTGAGAAAGATGGGTTCGATAATGTATACTGCACTGAAACACATGAGGGAGAAAACTGTTTAAAAGGGATATGTGATTAGGTATTTTTGTCATGACTGGAGTCCAGATTGAAGGCTGCATAGTGGAGTGGACCTGGGCGGAGGGACTGTAAAACAATTGAAGACTTTGTCTTTTACTTTTTCAAGAGGGTAGTATACTAGGGGGGAGAAAAGTTCAACAATGGAAATCCAAAGTCTCTGTAAATTTTCATTGAAAATAACAAGTTAAAAAATAAAAAAAAAATCATTTTTAAAAAAGGAGGGCCAGAGGCCAGGAGAGAAAGGGAGGGAGAAAGATATTTATTTCAAACAATTACTCACGTGCTGGCAGAGGCAGGTTCTTGATTTGGACCAGAAGAGCAAGGCGTCTAGGGAGGTTTTTGTGGCTAAGTCGTCAGCAGGCACGCAGGGTCTCAGAACACAGCCTTCGGAGACTGCTGGGTTCAGCTGCAGAGGTAAATGAACTTAAAAGTGGTTGTCAGACAGCAGTGTTCCAAACCTTCAGCTTGAAAGCTGGTGTGTTCTGGAGGACACAGCCAGATATCCAGCAGTAAATGAGGGGAAAACCACTCTAGCTTCTTGCTAGAATTCAGACTTTTATACTATGCAGGCCACACACCTGAGGAGACCTTCCCTTAATCAGATAAACCTGCTCATGTCTTTAGAGAATTGCCTCTAATCCCACCACATTAATATCATCAACTCAACTCATTGCCTGAGTTAGAAACCACCCACAGCTGAGACTCCAGCAAGTTTTCAGAGGTTATAAATCATGGGGGAGGTGGAGGGAGGCCGGCTATCTTTTGCCATCATTCACATTCTCTCCTAACAATATGCCCAAAATTTGTGAGACAAAGTATCACCATCCTTGCCTTTAAGGACCATGTTGGTTTCACTTCTTACAAGGCATATATTTGTTCTTTCAGTAGTCCATGGGATATTCATTACTTTCAACACCACAGCACAAATATTCTTCTGTCATCCTTATTTATTGTCCAATTTTCAGATGCATAGCAAGTAATTGAAAAGACGAGGGCTTGGATCCGGTGCACATTAGTCCTTAAACTGACATCATTGCTCTTTTGCACTTTGGAGAGGTCCTTAACAGCAGATTTGTTAACCCTTAACAGCAAATATGCCCAATGCAACACATCTTTTGATTTCTTGACAGCTGGTACCAAGAGGTTTGGTTGTGGAACCAAGCAAGATGAAAACTTCGATGACTTCAGTCTTTTCTCCATCTTGGTGAGGCTGCTTATGATCAGTGACAAAGACTTTTGTTTTCTTGATGTTAAAATGTAATCCGGATTTGGCTGTCATCTTTGATCTGTAGCAAGTGTTTTAAATCCTCCTCAATTTCAGCAAGCAAAGTCATGTAATCTGCATAACACAGGTTTTTGATGACCCTACCTCAGATTGTGATGCCACATTCTTCTTCATATAGTCCAGCTTCTCAAATTATTTGCTCAGCATACACATTGAACAGATATGGAGGAAGGATACAGCCCTGGCTCACAACTTTCCTGATTTTCTACCATATAGTGTTCCCTTGCTCTGTTCATACAACAGCCTCTTAATCTAGATCTAGATTTCACACAATTAAGTGTTCTGGGGTTCCCTTTCTTCTCAGTGTTAGCAATAATTTCTTATGATCTACCCAAATGACTAGATTGTTGCATAAACAACAAATAGACAGTTTTCTGATATTCCCTGCTTTTAGCCAAGATCCATTTAACATCATCAGTGATATTTCTGGTGCAATGGCCTCTTCTGAATCCAGTTTGAATTTTTGGCAGTTCTCTGTTGTACTATTCTAGCCATTTTTGGGTAATCTTCAGTAATATTTTCTGGAATTATTTATTATCTATTCTATTCTATTCTATTCTATTCTATTCTATTCTATTAAACATAGTGTCCGATAACTTCCACATTCCGTTGGATCACCATTTTTTTTTGGGGGGGGGAATGGGAATAAATATTACAGAGATTAGTATTTACCATCTGAAGGATGAATAGTTACATTCTACTAAGGCTCACGGCTACATCAACACACCTTAGCTACTAACAACCACATGCCCACACCCACTCTGATCCCGGGCCTGAATTGTGAGGTAGCCGAGTCCTCCCAGGACTGACATCAGGAGAGGACTCTCTGGAAGACCTTTGTTCTGAGCTCCTGTATCCCCTCACACCTCACTTCTACTCTCTGCAGGGCCAGGACCCCTATATGGGAGTGACATGTCCCCGCAGGGTGCTGACTGCTGCCATTCCTGAGACGTTACCCGCACCCTCGGGCAGCAGAATCACACCCACGGTCCTAAGGACCATCAGAGTTTTGTCTCTATTGGATGGAGGGCAGTGGCCCCACCGGCCCCATGAGTATTGAGCGTTTCTGTTCCTGCTCCAGCCTGGACCCCCCTGACGTGTCCACACTCTGCTGCAGCTGGCTTCTCTTGTCCCCATGCTGGGAACAGCTTAGTCCATGATAGGCAGAGTTTCGCCGCTGAGCGTCAGATGTCTTTCTCGAAAAGTCCCCGGTTCTGGTAGAACAGGGAGGATTCCGGATCCTCACTTTGGGTTTGGGGGAGAAATGGGCCAGTGAGCATGTACTCTTCATCAAGATTAAATTTGTCCTACATTTGCGTCAGCTGAGCCATCCATGTTTTAGGTTTGCACAGACTGATAATTTAAAGTGAATCAAGAAACTGATACTTTATTTTTCTCTATCATGGTAACATAGGGAGCTCTGGTGGTAAGGAGCTGCACTGCCAACCCCAAGGAAGGTGGTTGAAATCTACCAGCTGTCCGTGGGAGACAGATGGACAATCTCCTCCCGTGCAATTTACCATCTCTGAACACTTACTCGAGGGTCAGCTATGAGTCGGTACCAACTCGGCTGCACACAACAACTACATTGTGGTACAATAATACTTAATAAAAGATTCCCATGTGAAGCATGTGTATATGTAATCCCCACTGGCACAGATGACCTTCACCATGTTGAACAACCATCTCCCCCATGTCTTCCCAAAGATTTCATCCCTTCAAAAAGAATTCAATTCTCATTAGGCAGTAACTTTCCATTACCCCTGCCCCAGCTCCAAGGAGTCACTTATCTACTTATGTCTCTGTGTTTCACTAGCATACTGTTTTCAAGGTTTACCTATGGTTTATGGATCAGATTTCATTACTTTTCGTAGCCAAATATACTTTAAAATGTTTGCCACTGTTGATTCATGGGTTGATATTTCCACCAGCTCCCAATTTCTTCATATTTTCACCAGCCCTCATAGTTTCTCATTTTCTAATCATAGCCATCTGTGGTAAAATGAATTGAT